TATATCATATATATCATATTTATATGATGTATATTGTTTTAAAGTACATGAAAATTTTTTTAATTTCATATTTTTATATGAATTTATAGTATTTAGGGTTTAAGGCACATTTAGATGACGATTGGAATCCTCAAAAACGAGTACAAATTTCAATTAATACATAATAATTATACATACGTGCACCAATAATATCATTTTTTACAAGTCTATTATAAACGTAAATTTTCAAATAAATCGCGACGTAATCGTTATGAAAATAAATGATTAAATTGTAATTGCCTTACTCCAAGCCCATGTTCTCGCAACGTTATTTAAAAAAGAAACAATAGTGCTTGCCTTAGCACCGAGACACTATCTCCTGATTATTTTTCTCATCATTCTTTTTATCAGAATGGATATTATATTGAATCTAGTCGATAAAGTACTTTTATTACATCCAAGATTTTACAAACAAATTTTGACAAAGCCATAAAAATTTTGCTTTGTAATATTATATTTTTTAAAAATAATATTCTTTAAAAATAATTTTCGACAACATCAGGAAAAGATTGCATAAAAAAATTATAATAAATAAATCAAGAGTCGCAAAATACAGATAATTCCCACAAAAACAAAAAGAAAACACAGTTAAACCCCTACATATTTTGTCATTTCATTTAAATAAGATTTTTGAAAAAATTAATAAGTTTTTAAAAATAATTCGATTGTCTGTATGACTTACAGACTGGAATGAATAAACTACGACAATTTATTAGAGTGCTTAAGTAAACTTCCATCAAGTTCAGATATTAATGTAATTTCTAAAATCAAATGTAAAGAATGTGATGTGTCCTATATAGACCAGACAAGCAAGACTCTAATAATTAGAGTAAATGAACATAAGAAGAATCATATAAGATGGAATACAATACAACATTCAGTCACCATAGAGCACAGATTGGAAATGTTACATGAATTTAACTGGGAAAACGTGAAGGTTCTGAGGATGAAGAAAAGATTTTATAAAAGAGACTAATTTTCTGAAATGTTACATATAAAACAACAGACTAATGGCTTAAATTTACAAAATGACACAGTACTTCTTGCTCTCCTATATTTTAATATATTATGACTTGTTGCTTCTCTCTCTTCTGTGATTCTGTATGTATCGATTGATGTTTATTACGAAGACTTTTGTTAGATTCACACTGAGAAATCCATTTAGTTGAATTAATTAAATTCTTGTTTGAATATGGATAAATAACCTTGATGCAATTTTATCAGATATCAATGTTTATCAGAAATAAGTAAAATGTTACAATAATCAAATGTTTTGATTCAACTAAATTATTTTATTGCATCAACAAAGGATTTGTTTGCCTATATCCAAACAAGAATTTAATTGATTCAACTAAATGGGTTTCTCAATACATAGCGTGCAAGCTCTCGACATTTCTAATTATATCCACATAACGCTTTTATGTAATGATACTTCACATACTTTCGACAAAATAATATCATTTTAATTTATAAATAACAATATAAAAGAATTCAATTTTAATTTTGACAATTTAACGCATCGATGTAAATGGACGAATATGTGAAATGATCCATACGCGAGAACATCACGCTAATATTACTCAACGTTTCGTTACAAAAAAAGCAAATTCTGATTTGAATATATTTCTTGAATATAATTCTTTGTAAAATCAATTATTGAAATTGATTGTGACCACACAATTTTGACTTTTCTATTTTTTTATTTATGTATTGAAGAAGATCCGAACTTAAAGTCAAAACATATGCATTATTATCTGTTTGTATCAAATATAGAATAAAAAAATTCTTTTACACACTAATATCCTGTATTGACTCAAAAAAAAGCAATTCAATGATTTATTCGTTAGAGTAAATTGTTATTTTAATTTATTTGGAAATAAATAAATGATTCAGGCCGTAAATTGCACCGTTTGGCATAAACTTTCGTAATATATTGATCTCTCTTGAGTAAAGCAGTCTTGCGTAATTCATATTTAAGATATTATCATTCCGTCTTATATAATAATGCACAACTTCACTGAACAGCATGTGCGCATAACATATGCAATATACATAATTATGTCCAACATTTTATTTTATTTTGAGCTTTGATGGCAATTGTTACTTAATTATCGACTTATGCAAATTACTTTCCAGAATGATTTTATGGCTTCTCATGTCACATTATTGCAATTTCTTAAGATATATACAAAACAAGTTTTACTTCAATTATAGGAATCTCTATTCCTGTTGCGTTCGATGCATTTCAAATGGAGAAGAAAAGTTTCTAAAAAAAAGCATTCCATAACCGCGTACAAATTTTGTTTTTTTTTGTCTTTTTTACAGCTTTAGTCGAAATTTTATGATCATTATATAAGAATAACAAATAAAATTATTTATTAAAGATTCTTTTATATCAACTGCATAAAAAACAAAAATTGATTTTTTTCATTTTCTTTTTCTAATTTCGCTTATTCATTGATCTCATCGTCTCCTAATCGTGCCCATCTTGCACACACAAAATAGGACATTATAATATTGCTCGACGAATTGATCATCAATATAATGATCATGGAGCAACTATATGTGCGATTGACCGTACCCGAAATAAAGGATGCTTAACATTTGTTTTATAATATATTGACGTTCACCCCGGAATCAATAGCCAAGATCAAACTAAAAAATCTTTCATACAACATTTTTCAGCAAGGACACAGTGTAACACAGTGAATCATTTCATCCTTGTTTAACAAACAACAAGGATGTAATAATTCACTGTGTTACATTACATTCTTGCTGAAAAGCACACATAGATAACGATACAAATAATATTAGCAGAATATCATCAATAGCGAGAAGCGATAACCGCGATGTCATTCCACATTGATATATTGGGAGCAGTCTTAGCATAGATATTTTTAATATCTCCTATAAGGTTCCTCCTCTTCGGGATGAGCCGCATTGTATGCCAGGGCCCGTTGTATCTCTATCGGTATTGGCGGCGGTGTCGGCAGATGGGCGCCACTTGCCAGGAAGCCATTCTCATCGGCTGTGTAAGTAACCACGATCGGAGTACCATCTGGAGCCGTGTAACTGTATTGACCTCTGACCGCCTCGATCTGATTCGGTCCTATATTTTTCGGCTGTCCTGTCTCTGCTACGGAAATACCATTTTCTGTATCGTAGCTGTAATAAAAACAAATTGTTTAGACATTTTATGAGATACCATTTACAAAAAAGAGAAAAGAATTGCAGTTTAATTAAATAAAAAATAAATAAAATAAATTTTAAACTATTGTATAAATATATAAAACTACTGCTGGTCCGTGGATCACCTGTAAATACAAGATTTATTTAAGATGGTTCATTTTCACTTATATTCCAAAAAATTACTAAGAACCTTAGTAATTCCATCTTTAAAAAAATTCAACTTGTAATTTTGCATGAAAATTTTTCATCCAGAATCTGAATAAGTGCAATTAAAATTTATTTCAAATTATTCAGAAAAAGAATTGTTTTTATCAGCCTTGCGATTAACATTTCATATTCACTTTCCCACCAAACTGCTAAAACCAGTCAAAGAAAAATACTACTTTTGAGATGTTAGATAGAGCCTCGCCACAAGTCTTAATGTCTCAGAGACAGGTGTCATGGGAGGGGCCCGAGTTAAATGCGAAGAGCAATAAGAATGGGTGAGGAAGAGGAGCGCGTAGGTAGGCAAGCAGGTAGGTCGATTGTAATTGTTGAATTGCACAATTATTACGTGTTGTACAACCGAATGGCGCATGTATGATTAACATCAAAGTCAATTATGTATCCTTCCTTTGGCCAAGACGGATTCACGGTTTTTGCGATTTCAATTAAGACTAGTCAATTGTTTCAAGTAGCATCTGGAAAATCATCTACCTACGCGTAAATGGTTCGCGACTTCGACACGCCCATACTTTATATTTTATATGATAAGTCGCATAAAGTCCTAAAGTTAGAAAACGTTGAAAGATAGTTGATTATTATGAAGGTATGACCGGATCGTCAGGAAAAATTTCTAAGAACCACTGAGCTGAATAAAATATTAGGTCGTTCAAAAACAAATGTATAATATAATATAGAATGAATACTATTACAACATAATCGCAGAGTTTTCCGTCAATTATTATAGTTATTAATTGCATGTAAGATGTGTCGTACAGATTTAGCGTGATGTAAATGGGACGATGTGAAATGATTGATCACTTAATAGATAATTTGAAAATAACCTGACCTATTGACTAGAGATCATCTCGTTGCGCTTGATTAATTATAGTGAATCATGATATATTAGAAAGTATCAGAGTGAGATGAAAATATCTCAACACGTCTTTGCAATAGTTGACCTTTTTTACAAACGTATAGAATTTTTTGCATAATTATTTAGTTTATATAATTAAATGATAATTCAAGGTAATAATACTTTAGATACAGAGAGAGAGAGAGAGAGAGAGAGAGAGAGAGAGAGAGAGAGAGAGAGAGAGAGA